TATATACATAAAAAGAAGGAATAGTCCCACTGAACAGTCGACTGACAAAAATCTTAGTCGTGTTTAGCCCTAAAATTGGTTGGTCTGCTAAGAGTTTTTACTGTTTCTGTGTTAATTTGAATTGTCTAAATATGTGTTTCTAATTTTTAAGCTTGTCTAGTGTAATGTTGGCTGGAAATGCAGTGAAGTTAATTTTTCTGTTTTCACAAAAAAAACACATTTGAGGAGTCTAAGTACAATGATTTACTTGCTAATATGGTTTGGCTTTTTTCCCTTTCACAAAGTATGTACCGTTAAACAGGCTTATCCAGTCGAGCTTTGACAAGTCTAAGGACAGTGGTTTTTACTTTTTTTATAAAAAAAAAAAAAAAATAAAAAAAAAAAAAAAAGTCTCAGGAATCTTATTCCGGTCTGACCAGTCGAAGTACAGTGACTTTTGGCTTTTATAACTTTATAATTTGATTAATAGTTGTAGTTTGTTCGTGCAAATGCTAATTTTTCTTCTGTTTCAAATTCACAGACATGAGGATTTAATGATTTTTGTCATATTTGAAAGTAAACTAAATATCTTTGGGTTTCGGACTAGTTGTTGAATATGTCACCTTAGGACAGAGAGAAATCATAATTGTAATTATACAATTTATAGATTAATTAGAGAGAATAAGCTTAATCAGTAATGAAATTTATTGTAGTTGCAGCTCCACATGCAACAAATCTCTCTGGTGTCTCTTTACCTTTCCGTTCAGAAGCCAATTTTAGCCTCATTGTTATTACATCCTTTATCCGAACTCTCGCCTCTGCTTCAGCCTCTTTTCTCTCCTCTCCTCTCCTCTGTCTTCCTGTAGCTGGCGGGTCTTCATCCGATCCTGCCTAACATCCTGCTCAGGGGCTTCACACACTCAGTCCTTGTAGCTCTGTCAGTCTGCACAACCACTGCGTCAGTCCACCCCGACACCTTTCATCAGAGGGCACAAGCAGCCAAAGCCAATGGTAAGCACAGCACAGGGATCTTAGAGCCACATATTCCAGAGAGTCGGTGCTCTGCCTTCCAGTATCGAGACAACAAGTATTCTGCGGGAGGTGAAGGTCCTCGACACGGAGCCTCAAAGCTAGCGATGCCCGGATCCACGCCGGCCAGCAGCAAGGCTCGGGTATACACCGATGTCAACACACAGAAGAACAGAGAGTACTGGGACTATGATGCACATGTGCCAAACTGGAGGTACATTTAAATGTGATACTTAATGCAGTATTTCACACTTGCCTTGGTTCAGTTTAGCACAAAGTTTTAGTTTGCAGAACAGCACCATATAATACTACACTCCTAATTTTACATCCTGCATTAAGTTTATCAGTGCATCACAACGTTGAATGTTCTCATCACAGATTAAATGTTGCATTTTAAGATGCTCTTGTCATGATGCAATAATAAGATTGTAATCAGTATTGAAATTGATAATTGATCTAATACACACACACACACACACACACAATTCCTGAACATAATCTTATTTATTGTTGCAACTAATGATTATTTTTATGATGAAAGGATTATTTAATCTATAAAAATATCAGAAATTATTGACAAGTGCCTTGAAATTAGTTGAATTGTTTTAGCACTGATCCTCTTACTGATCCGTCATTTTAGTTATTTTGTTTGCACAAGTGTTCTTATATGATCCGCCTGTATAAAGTGGGTTTCCTCTTTTATTACTGTTAAACATTCCCACTCTTTGTCTTCAGCAATCAAGACAACTATCAGTTGGTACGTAAACTGGGTCGAGGGAAGTACAGTGAAGTATTTGAGGCCATAAACGTGACCAACAATGAGAAGGTGGTGGTGAAAATCCTCAAGGTGGGCCCTGTTCAGTATTCACCTGTTTTTTGCCACCATTTCTGTGTGAGATTTTCTTGCTTATTTCCCATGTGGCAGAGCTTCCCTCAGTCATTCCTTACCAGTTCCTTATCAGCATCCATCTTCTCTTCTTACTTCTGACCCAGTGCATCTCAAACATCCAAGTGAAGCTGAACCTATTTTAGAGAGGAGGGTAGTTTAAATGTTGTGAAACTCGATGCCACATATTGGCATCACCTGCTGGTCAGTTGAGTAAATGCAGTAGTAAGATTAAAAACCCTTATAGAGATTTAACTCATTTCATCCTGTGTGAAATCAACCTTCTTCAGTGAAACATTTGTACCTTTCGGCACATTTTGTTGGTCTTGATGCAGAGCATCTGTCCTACTTCAGTTTCTTCAAAAAATGCCTCTGATTATATTAAAAAGAGTCAAATTTGATTTACATAGGTCTTGAATGTTTTTATTCTTGGCCCAGTGGAGATTAACTATGAAGGTCACTGACTCAAAATGTATTGGTTTTAACAAAAGGTAATTTAATCTATAAGTTTTCTGTCTGGGTCTAAGCATAGATGGATTATGAGACATTTGGGCCCCAGAGCACAGACATGTAAAAGGCCCTCAGTCCTCCTGTGTAAGACATCAGACTGAGGGGGGCTCCTACATAGGAAGAATTATGTAGTTACTCCCTGCGTAATAGTTTTGTGTCTTTGGGATAATTTTGTTTGTCTTGGTAGTATTTTATTTGAGCTCCATGACTTTCAAACAAGAAATTTTAACTAACTTTGTGGAGAGGTTCTGGCCCAGGGGCCCAGTTGTCAGTTGGCTCCTGAGCCTTTGCCCTGTAGGCCTGTTCAGTAATCCATAAGGTCACAGGAACTAATTGTATTACTAAGAATTATTGTTGTATATAGCTTAGAAGTACCAACAAAAATGTGATATAAGTATCAATACATTTTTGTTCTTAATTAAATGTGAAAAAAATCACAAATGTATTGAATTTCAATTTCAGCAGTATTAAACAGGTCTTTAAAAAGTCTTTAATATAATCACTTTAAAAGCCACATTGTGGGCTTGGGTGTCTCCCTGTATTACTTGATTTGATTTTTAAGCTCTACTGTTGAATATGGATCTTTATTTTGCACCACTTGTTTTCATTTGCAGCCTGTCAAGAAGAAGAAAATCAAACGGGAAATCAAAATTCTTGAAAACCTGCGCGGAGGAACCAACATTATCCGCCTGGTCGACACAGTCAAAGACCCGGTGGTGAGTTAGAAACCTGCGTGTTTTTGCTGCGTGTGGGTACGCCGGCAGCGGTAATCCAGTCATGCTTATAACTCTGTGTGTGTGTTGGTGTGTACGTAAGTCCGTGCACTGACAATGATCTCCATCTACCTGCTGTTCTCCTCTGTTAAGCCTTGTGTTGTCCTCTCTTTGCAGTCCAGAACACCAGCGCTTGTCTTTGAGTGCATCAATAACACAGATTTTAAGGTACTTAAGTTTGGCCGACATCATACATGCAGAACTAGTGCACAGTTGTACCATCCATGCAAAGACACTGATATCCATTATTACTAAGACGCATAACCCTCCAGTTAATGTTGTACGTGTATCAAGGGCAGTTGAACTGTTGACACCATGTTACTATTGATTAATTTTTAAACGTTTTACACATGAACATCTTTCATCGGTTCAACAGGAGCTGTACCAGAAGCTGACAGACTATGATATCCGTTACTATATGTATGAGCTGCTCAAGGTAAAAATAACTAGTTTACATCTTGTGACAAGGCTTTCATAATTTATTTAACCTGTGACATTATTTGCTGCTGTGACTAAACTTTGTGTGCTTTGAGGAGTAATTTTCCTTCATTGGCAAAATGTTAGTTTACAATATTCACTGACATTTAGTTCATCAGTTCACTGTCATTAGAAACCTAAGAAGTAGCCTTGGAGTCTGAAAAATTCTGGTGTGCATTTTTTGTTTAGTTTTGTTTCCTGACATTTCATGGATTAAACAGTTAATCAGACATGAAAAAGAAAATACATTTTAGCTGCTGCTATGAAATAAATGAAGCCAGTGTATTTATTGTGATGGATTCTCCCACTCTGAGAAGGTTGTTTTTCTTATTGTACTGGAGTTTGATTTA